CTTAGCGGCGCTAAGGCCCGGAAGATCAACATTGCTGCTTTTTCTTTGGTTCGTGCGCTCGTCTATGTCGCTCGGGTACTGCCCGAGCTGAGAACTCAACTTTTGCATGCCTGATGCTCGAACAACACACTTCCCTACTTGCCAGAGTGCTCGTCATCCAATCATCCTAAAACCTGGAACCAACACAACGGGAAAGAAAAACACGAAAAACGAAGAAAATAGGAAAGAAATCAAAGAAAACACTAAACACACCGAAATAAAGATGAAAGCATAAGAAATGACAAAGAGGACCGAAAATGCCTAAGAAAAGACCCAAAAACGACACACAGAATAACAACGAAAATAGCAACAAAAACGGGACAAACAAGTACATATAGGGCTGCAAACGAGCCAAGCCGAGTCGATCATTGATCTTATCGAGCACGATTGATTTTTTCCTTTTAGCTACTTGAGCTCGAGCTCGATTTATGAGGCTCGAGCTCGCCTCGATAAGAAAATACAATAGATCGAGCTCGAACTCGACTTAAAAATTTTAATTAAAATTACCATTAAGCACTTGTTTTATACTATTTAAATATATTTAAGGAATATTTTAGTAATTTAATATATATATTGAGCCGCTCGACAATGCAAAATATGAGCTCGAGCTCAATTCGAGTTTGGTCAAAACTCGAGCTCGAGTCGAGCTTTAACTCGTGAGCCGCTCGACTCATTTTGCAGCCCGCAGCCCTAAGTACATCAAATTCAGCACTCTTTACCAAGCGAAGACTAATCCCTTTCGAAAATATAAATATACTCTCTGACAATGAAAAGCAACGAACGAGCATTACATAAAGCGACTGACTAATCTCCATTTATTAATGAATTTTAATAAAATAAAGGGCAATGCTATATGTACACCCCTTTTTAATAAATTACACAAAGGGCAATGCTATATGTACACCCCTTTTTTACACACAAGGGGGTGTACATATAGACACCCCCTAAAATAAATCAACCACCCTTTACAAATCTTAATCTAGTGGTCCTTCTCCAAGTTAATGCTCTTACTTTATGCTTCTTCTTTTTTTTTGCTTTTTTTTTTTAAAGAAAAAAATGAAGAAAATAGTCTAAAATGTAAAAAGTAAAAACACTTGTTAATTAATGCTCTTTAAAAGTCCTTGTTCTTTTACGCTTATTTTGTGACTTTTAATTTTATTTTTTAAATAGTGAAAAAATATTTGAAAGGATAATAATAATTTTAATGAATAACGATTTAATATCGCAACTGAATATAAGATAAAGACTAACATTAAAGTTATACAAGCCTAAATGTTAGACGATTATTATATTTATACCTTCAAATTACAGGTGTCAATACATTAAGTGACTGATGATTCCGTACGATTTTAAGAAACCATTCGATGACTCCATAAGAAACTGTCCGATGACTCCACATATTTATTTTTAGAAAACCATCCAATGCCTCTGTTAAGTACACTAAGAGTGTGTTTGTAAAAAAATAATTTGAGTGAATTAACTAAAAGTGAGTTTTTTTTAGTTAACTAAAGTTAATTTAGAATAAAACTGTATAATTAATTGTTAGTGAAATTTTAAGTTTATATTAAAATAATATTAAAAATAAAATAATTAAAATTTGTTTGATGTAAGAGTATGAGAGGGATGATATGAAGTGATGCTTAATTAAATTATGTGAGTGGATGAACCATGGATTAAAGTTGATATGATGTGTAAAAATAATTGATTGTTATTATTTAATGATTGATTGCTATTTAATTATATTAATAATATTAGAATAGTGTGGTTAATTAAAATTGAGTTAGTAATTAATATTAATTTGGTTTGATATTCTTGTTTTACAAATATAGCTCAAGTATTAAAATAAACTCTCACAATTGGACAGCAAAAAATTACATCACTCACAGTTTAGTTTAGTACAGTACTGTACAGTACAGACCTCCTCCTTCTCCTCCTCCTCCTCCTCTCTCTCTCTCTCACACACACACTAACCGGACTCTTCGCTGGAAAAATTTCCGGCCAGCAAATCTAGGTCTGTGTGTATTGACACGCGGCGCCGCTATAGGATCAGCTCTCTATCTACAAACACGCCTTACATGAACTCACAGTTGCGCTCAATTTCCATTTCCGACGACTCTGCAAATCGAGATTTGTGCAATTCTGTTTCGATTCCGATTTGCATGCTCGCGCTCTCCCTTCATTTCACGTGCATAGACAGCTGATTGACAGCTAAGATGTCGGTGTTTGACGCGGCGTTTGTGGATACCGAGCTCTCGAAGAGGACCTCGATCTTTGGTCTCCACCTGTGGGCGGTGATCGGAATAATCGTGGGGGTGGGGATCGTGCTCATCCTTTTCCTGCTGTCGATCTGCCTCACCGCCTGGCGCCGCCGGAGCGGCGGCAAGGGCAAACCCCACCGCCCGACGAAACTCGCTGGCGCAGAGTTCACCCCCGTCATCTCGAAGGAGATCCAGGAGATTGTCAACGATTCCTCCTTCGCCGCCGCCGCCGCCGAACAACGCCCGGTTGTGGCTCAGGTATGCTGACAGGATCTGAATTTATATCTTGACAAAATTCATCTTAAAGGCGAGATTTGCTTCCTTAAATGGGAAAATTCTCAGTTGCTGTTCAGTCATTCGTTTCAAAATCCAATCTAATGTGTGATGAAAATTGCAAATTGGGGATTCTAACTATTTTTCTAATTGTTTTCCAGTTGATATGATAATATTAATAGTTGTTGTAATCTTTTCCCAGAAAAATTTCCAGGCTGTGCCAGAGATACAAATAGATATGGGCAAGGTGGAGCATCGCGTGGTGTTCTCTGATAGAGCATCGAGTGGTGAGAGCAAGGCCACGAGTGGGGCCGACACGGCTTCCTTTGGAGGTAGTGGGTCGTTGCCGGAGGTATCCCATTTGGGATGGGGAAGATGGTATACTTTAAGAGAGCTTGAGGCAGCCTCTAATGGATTGTCGGCCGAGAATGTGATTGGTGAAGGTGGCTATGGTATTGTGTACTATGGAGTTTTGGCAGATAACACCCGGGTGGCTATCAAGAATTTGTTAAATAACAAGTAAGAAAGTTCATTTATTTGCCTGTTTTTCTGGGGAAATAGAGATTTTTTGCATTGCCAGGGAAACATGATGAATGGGTTGCTTGTTAGGACGTTGTATTAAATTTTTAAGTTTCGTGTTGACTTTGTTATTTGGAAACATGATTTTTATAGTTAAATTCTGAAAGATTTTTGTGTTTGACTGTAAATGAAGTCTTGTGTATTAATTGAGGAAAGAAATGGCTTGTTGCTGATGATAGTTTTTACTCTGGTAGCAGATTGCATTCTGTTGAAATTGTCCCTCCTTCATTTGTATTATTGGAATATTATTATCAAATTTGGCTTTGGAGCTTTTATCAATTTTTGTCCCTAATCTTATTTTTATTTGCCCATAATTCAATTTGCTAACTTTGGGTTTGTTTGCGAGAGAAAGAGAACCCTTATATCCTTTTAAAATTTATAAATCGAGGACGAGGAAACACATTAGTTTTGGTTAAAGTTTAACGCGGTTGATGCTGGAACCTGTGTTTATGTCGTGAATTTGTAACCTGGAGTGAAGTTATGCTTTTAGGGAACTTTTTGTGACAAAAACATCTTAAAGATCTAGCTGTGATGTATGTTGCCAGTATACCTTATCTATGCTTATCATTGTTTTCAGGGGTCAGGCTGAAAAGGAGTTCAAAGTGGAGGTGGAAGCTATTGGACGTGTCAGACACAAGAATCTTGTTAGGTTGCTTGGGTACTGTGTTGAAGGAGCTTACAGGTATTTGTAATTATTTTGTTATGGTAACTTTACATTTACTTTGTACTTGAGCATCAACAAACCGAACGGCCTTTTCAATTTCTTTTGATGTAGGATGTTAGTCTACGAATATGTGGATAACGGAAATTTGGACCAGTGGCTTCATGGTGATGTAGGTGATGTCAGCCCTTTGACATGGGAGATCCGTATGAATATAATTCTTGGAACTGCAAAGGGGTATATTTATACAAAGTTACTGTGTTTTATGTAACATACTTACATATAACTTAGTTTTTACCTGGCCACTTACTTCTTGAGCTTGTCTTTGTGGCAGCTTGGCGTACCTGCATGAGGGTCTCGAACCAAAGGTTGTTCATCGAGACATCAAGTCCAGCAACATACTGCTCGACCGTCAGTGGCATGCTAAGTTGTCTGATTTTGGGCTTGCTAAGCTTTTGAATTCAGAGAACTCATATGTGACTACTCGAGTGATGGGAACTTTTGGGTTAGTCATTGTTAAAGGTTTTTCGTTTGTGTTTACTTGTAATGAAACCAAGTTGCTTTAAGTCGGTACTGGAATTAACACACCTTCCATTTTTCTGCTAGATATGTTGCTCCAGAATATGCTTGCACAGGCATGCTGAATGAGAAAAGTGATATTTATAGCTTTGGAATACTGATAATGGAGATTATTACTGGAAGATCTCCTGTTGATTATAATAGGCCAAAGCCGGAGGTTAGTTTTGAGAATAAATTACAACAATTAGCCCTTATTTTTTCGATGATCTTTTAGAATCATGAAAGCCCACTAGACATCTTTATTTGCTTGATAAGTTCCCTGTAGTTGTAACATATGAACATATATCTTTCTTAACTATATTTGGACTTAACTGCAATGGTAATTTTGTAATTAACTCTAGTTTCACTCAATAACTGAAAATTCTCTCCTAATTATAAACTCTCTTAATTGCAGGTTAATCTAGTTGATTGGCTGAAAATGATGGTTGGGAATCGGCAATCAGAGGAGGTGATAGATCCTAAATTGCCTGAAAGACCTGCTGCAAAAGCACTGAAACGTGTTATTCTGGTAGCCCTGCGGTGCGTTGATCCCGACGCCCAGAAGAGGCCGAAAATGGGCCACATAATACATATGCTGGAGTCTGAGGACTTGCTATCTCGCGATGTAAGTCTGAGAATTTATTCACCCAGCCTCGATTACCTGCAATCTCAAGTTCAACCTCTAAAATTATTATTATATTTTTCTAATTTTAGTTATAAAATATACACTTAACTCAGATCAATTAGTAAGTAAAAGAAACAGTTATTGTTGAAAATTTACTAGAAATCCACAGATACTTATCTAAATTTTGTAAGAATATACCTTGTGAGGCAATTTATTTAGCAAATACAATGAATGGCTTACCAGAAATGTAACTGTAACTGCCTCTATTAAAAAACAAAAAATCCAAAATTAGGATAATGAAGTGTAGTAATGTAGTATAGTATGTGATTTACAAAATTTGCTGTTTGCTAAAATGGCTGTTCTAAATTCAGGAACGTCGAATTGCTCAAGAATCATCCAGTTCCCTCAGAGAAGACAAAATTAAGGGCCCTGAGTCAGCTTATAAACGAAACACTGAAGGTATCTCTGATATTAGTGAAGATGATAGCAGTAGAAACCATAGTATGCCAGCTCGAAGGAGATAATAATTGTGTTTAAGATTTTTTTTCGACAAAAGATACTATGCTCAACTTATTTATACCATTTCACTACCAACTGGAGGCATATTCATTGTTACCTTGGAAGTCGGCCCAAAGCATTAGCATATGTAAAGTAAGTGATTATTCTTTTCTCTGTATAAATTAAAACAAAATATTTTTGGCATGGTTTTATTTATCATTTTTTATATGTTAATGTAAGAACAACGCGTGACAGCCCACTTTTTTGCGTGATCGTATTATAGATAATTAGATATGATTTTACATACCCTTAGTTTCAGCAGTTATGCACAACGTGTTTTGTGACTGAGACGGGCATGCCTTTTGTGACATTGCTTTAGCTTGTGAAATTAGGATTTGAAACTGCACATTAAAATTTCGGGACTCAGAATTTATTATAAAGTACATCCTTATTGCGTGACGTTGGATAATTGATGAGTTATTATTTCCGTTTGGTGTTTATATTCATGCTCATGTCATGTTGTTAGTTCTTGTCTGGGTTGGTCAGTGACTATTGTGCATCGGCATCGCATTGTTGCCATATTGGGACATGAATGAGGCCAATCAATAATCGTTGTTTATATGAAGATAGTTGTTGTATTGGGGATGAATGTGAGCTGGCAAATGGTGTATAAATAGAACTGTTTGTTTTTGCTTTTAGGCTGGACATTGGATATGTAGGCCATGTTTTTTGCTTCCTTTTTTGGAGCCTTTCTTACGGGCTAAAGTGAGATTAGCACATAAGAGATAACATATGTGGGGGACCTTTAGATGGACAAACAAATTTTAGGAATTGGTGAGCTTATGACGGTATTGTTAACACAATTTATGGTGTAGGACAAACCTAACTAGTCTAGGGTTGTAACCGAGCCGAGCTCTAACTCAGGGTGCTCGAGCTCGAGCTAGAAATTGAGCCTGAGCTTGGCTCGTTTATCAATATTAATTAGCCGATCTCGAGCTATAACGAGTCGAACTACAGAAAATTATATAAAAATTATCTTTTCAAGCCTTAACGAGCTTTATCGAGCTGAGTTGAGGCCAACTCGTTAATAAATGAGTTAATTGAGCTCGGTTCGTTTATCGAACGATTTGAAAACGAACTTGAGCCTTAAAGAAACGAGCCAAGCTGAGCCGCGTTTATGAGCGACCCATTTCTTTTAATACCTTTGTATCGACTCATCATACTATTTGAATGCAATGATGCATCATTGTAATACGATTCACCATATATAAAATCCCTCTAGTAAGCCTAAGTCTAACCAGGACGCCACCAACGAATCTTTTAAGCGGTAAAGCCGCCTTACAACAGACCTAATGGCGAGATTACTATTTTCTTTTTAAATTAAATCATACTTTCAACTCAAATGTCACCTTCTAATAAACATCATAAATAAAAAGTATGGCATCTCGTAATATATGCATGTATTTTTGTTAAAAGTAAGTATTACAGATCGACTCATCTAATAGTTAGACTGGTTCAACGAAGAATACGTAGACCTCGAGAATATTTGTTATTGTAAAGGATGACTTCTCTTCTTGGTAGCCAAGTCTATAAACAACATTTGTTGACAGTTTTGTAATAAACCATACCCATTGAATAATAATATACTTGCAGCATAAGCATAAAGTGTAGAACTGAAGAAACATTGTATGGAGCAGCGCATTTGGGGTGACATTTCTTAGACAAATTTGTGTGGGACTTTCCTTAAAACTATCAGATCTTATCTCTTCAAAGATAAAATTTAGTGTGGAGATTTTCATAATAAAAAAGAAAAAAAAAAATACTTTGTTGTATAGTTAAAACAAAAGTCCAATTTAAATGATTTTGATAAACTGCATGAATTACAGAGCAATATGCTTATACACAAAACACAATAACATCTAAAAGATGCTGCAAAAATAAGTGAAATGTAGTCACTGTCAGTAGTACTTATCTGTCAACAATACATAGATAAAGAATTACATGGCTTGGTGTTTCTTCAAAGATTGGACTAACAATTACTATTTCTCATTATTGTATAGGGAAAAGCTACAGTCCCGTTACGGAACATTCTCGTCGGATTTGTAACTGTTAGATCATCATTTAATCATCGTGGATAGTTGATCTAACGGTTACAAACCTCGACAGGATGGTTCCGTAATGGAACCGTAGCATCTCCCTATTTATATTATTAGAAAAAAAAAAACACTATTTATCAATTCCTATATTTATAAGTAACAAATCACTTTCAATTAACATTTTATTGTTTTTTACATTATATCAAATTTGGTCAATACATTATCATTTTATATCTATTAACCATTATAAATTTATTTTGTTCATTTCTACAAACCATTTTTTTTTTTTATAATTTCTCTATCTCATTTTCAAACGAAACAAAATTTCTAAAAACATTTTTTTTT